GCCCGCCATCGCCGCCCCAGCCCCTGGCCCCGGCCCCGAACCGCCGGCGGCGGCCGCCCCCTGCGCACCTGCGCCCCTCCCTGAAGGGCACTCCGTCCTCCCGCGCGCTAACGGTTGCCCCCTTGGGGTCCCTCCCGTCTCCCTCCCACCCCTGCCGCCCGGGGCTCTGGCGGGGGTTGTGCGCGACCCATGCTCCCGGGGGTACCCCTAGCGCGTCGCCGGGCCCCCAACTCTGCTAGCAGGGCCTGTCTTGCGGGGCCTCTGGACCAAGCGCTCCGCCAGTTTGGCCAACGTGGAAGCCTCCCCTCTACCCGAGCACCTCGCGGGGTTCCTCACCTACGTTTCTTGCATCCCAAGCGGCCACCTTAGTGCTTGGTCATCAGGGACCTCATTCCTCGTTGCCCAGCCGCGGGAAACACCTGCCTTGAGCAAGGGCCACGGGTGGCCCCCGCATCACCAGGCCAGGCCAGGCCCTTCCTAGCCCGTACCTTAAATGCAGCAGCTACCTGGCCTTAGCCACTCACGTTGCCTTTTTTTTTTTTTCTTTCTTTTTTTCAAGAAACTTGAAAGAGACCTAGTGTCTCCTCCCTGCCCCAGCTGTTACTACAATTCCCAGTCTAGTTGTGGGTTTGTTTCACTCCAGTGTTGGCTACTGGGAAAGGCTAAATAAATACAGTATTTACTTGCTCTATCTTTTCTCCTTGCATCCCGGTCTTATTCTCTCTCTCTCTCTCTCTCTCTCTCTCTCTCTCTCTCTCTTTTTTTCTTCTTAAAGTGCTACTTTCCCAAGATCACCTTCCTCACACTCAGCAGTCCACCCATGCGAGGACCAGTGAGCTGCACCCTTTTGCTGGTTACAAGTGGGAGCTTGGATTCTGGGTCCTTCCCATCACCCTGTCCTTGGAACCCCGGGCTTGCCCCCCTCCAGCCCTGCTCCCCTTTAGTCCTAGATCTTGGTCTTCAGTTGGGAAGGAGGAGGCTTCCAGACTTTGTGTGCCTGGCTTTGCCTGCGGACCAGAGACCTTGTGGGTCCCAGATGGTGGTTGTGGTCAAGTGTGCTTAGATTTTTGGACTGGCTTAGTTGGCCTGTGGACCCGCTGGCATTGTGTGTGATTTGATGAGTGGGGATCCCAGCTCTGCTAGTTCTCCCCCATGTTCTTACATCTGTAGTTGGAGTTTAGCATAGAAAAAATGGCCCCACTTTAGGGAATAAAAGGTGCCAAGAGGAGACATAGGAAGGATTTTAAAAGTCTGAGAAATGAAATATGGCTTCCAACTCACCCAGGAAGCTTCAGAGCCCTCTCTGCAGTTTTGTGTAGCATTGTCTTCAGTGGTTCCCTGACCCGGCAACCACTGCTCCCTGTCTTTTCCCTGGCTAGATCCTGGGGCTGGACAAGTGGGCAGAAAGGATCAAATGAGGTAATGTGTGAAAGTGCTTTGAAAACCTTGAACTAGTAGGCAATTGCATGAGAGAACTGACCACTCCCAGAACTCAGGCTGTGCTGTGGCCCATTTCAGCCTTTGATTCCCCCTCCCAGCCCCTGCGAAAGCACCCAGTCACCCCCCAGCAGCTTGGGCCAGCAGTGGTTCTGTGTTTTGGGATATTGGAGACTCTACCTCTGTTAACGGTGATACTGGGCGGTGCCAAGGCACATTGCTCTGGATTGGGGCTAATTTTAGGGGTGATGGAGTAAGGAAGTACTGTTCTGAACTTGGTGTGTGATGAGAGCACTCATTCTTTGCATCCTTTCCTTTTCCCATGAGGGTTAAACCCCAGAACACAGGCTCCCTGATCTTTCTAGCCAGTTGGGAGCTCCTGGCAGTGGCATGTACCTTCTCCTCTTGCCTCCAGTAGGGGGCACCCTCTTAATAGCAGTAGTTCAGATGCTGGGAGAGTAAAGGTACCCTGAAGTCTGAAAGAGAAGGGCTGCAGAGGGGCTAGAAGCTAAGGTAGGCAGGCTGAGGCAGAGCCACGGCCCTGTGACAAGCTGGCGTGGGCCAGTGATGAAGAGGAGTCTCTTAGCCCACACAGCCAGGAAAAAGGTGAGTGGGAAGAGCAGGGTCTCTGCTTCTAGCCTGCCACCTCTCCCAGCCCTGTCTTCATTAAAAAGGGGTCCAGATGTTTGGCTTGGAGAGTGTGACTGATGAGGTTGGGATTGGAGTTGGTTTTCTTTTAATCTATTCTTTTCCCAGGGATTCCCCTCCTGGCAGGACTTCAGAGTTCTCTCATGGGATCATGTAATTAAGGAATTGTTCCTTGCTGTGCTGATGAGAAAACGAGCAGACACTTGGTTCTCCCGCTTCCATTTTTCCCCATAAAGGCCAAGGAGGTTTACTGGTCTTGTGGGTGAGGGTGTCTCCATGGTTGCCATTGTGGACCAGATACTTTTTCTTGTTTCAGAGTCTGTTCTGGGCATTGTAGGGTGTCTTATGGGAATCTTGATCTCTACCTGAGAGATTCTAGAGGCACTCCCAAGCTCGGTTGAGATTGCCTTGAATGTTTCCAGCCATGGCCAAAACTCTGAGGAGCAGAATCACCCCCAACCAAGAATACTCTTGCTCCCAGGCAGTGTGGACAGAGGCGCTGTGTTGGGAGGAGTGTAGACCACTTTCTGACCCTGACCCTGCTTCACTGGCACTGTCTTCCTCTGCTCCTAATTCTTGGACCCTTTTCTCCTGTCATATTGCCTCTGCTGCCCTTTCCATTCTCCCTCATCCCACCTTGTAGCCCTTCCATGTCCCTAGGATTAGCATCTGCTCCACTATGAATAAGCTGTGGAGGCTCAAAATTGCCTTTCTCGAGCATTATTTGAAGGAATGTGAGACATTTTTCTTGTAGCCAGGATGGCCTAGAACTTTCTTTTTTGTTATTGATGCAAAATTCACTATTGACCAATTATAAATGTGCGCTTCTGAGGTATTATGTTCTCCTTGCTGTGTTGTGCAGCCACTGCCACCAAGCCGGCATATCTGGGACTTTCTCCTCATTCTCTGCTGAAACCCTGGACCCACTGAACAGCTGTACACCCCCTTCCCATGCAGAGTCTGATTTTCTTGCCTTGCAAGAGGAATCCTCCAGTGTTGTGTTTGTGACTAGCTTGTACTGATCATGTCTTCTAGTCCGTCTAGTATCTAAGGGTTGTGGCCTCCTTCCATGCATCAGAGGAGAAGCTATGCTGTGTGGTGCCCTGTGCCAACAGTATCGCCAAAGCTCTGGAGGAGGAAAAGGAGGAGATTCCCAAGGAGCTTAGCCAGCTTAGGTGTCTCACCCTAGCTCCTCTGCTTTTTTTTTTTTTCTTCTTGGCAGACCCAGGCATTGAACTCAGGCCCTTGTACTTGCCAGGCAAGTGCTTATTCTACTGAGACAGCTTCCTGGCCCCTGCTGCTGTGATTCTGAGCAGCTCATTTTCAGTTGTCGTTGTTTGCTTTGACTGTGGGTGAGAAAGCCCCTGTTCTAGGTCCTTGACGGAAGCTTCTCCTCCTCCCTGCAGACGTGTGCTGGCCCAGCCTCTCACTCAACCAGTGACGGAGCCTTCGAGCACCCGTGGACACTTCCTGCCCTTCTTCCTCTGCTTTGGTCCCATTGGGGATGAACCCTCTTCCAAGCGTCTCCTCCGTTATTCCTTAGAGGAACTGGTTGCTGCTGCTGCCCCCACCACCACCTGTCAGCCTCGGGGACTCTATCCTGCTTTCTACTCTATGGTGAGGGAACCTTTATTGAACTATATCAAGATGTTGTGTGTGTCTCCCCTTCATGGGAGCAGCAGGTGGGCGCTGGGTGCGTATTCCTACTGGGGAGAACAGCCCTGAGATGCCTTGACTGGGCACATACGCTGGGATCCTGGCCTGTGTGACTGTATTTGGCCCTGGAAGAGTTCCTGCCTCTTTCCTGCTGGTTCCTCCCCTGACCTAGTGCCTAGATTCTAGGGACAGCAGAGCAGTCCATCCTGATTGATTTCCTTGAGGAAACTTTTTTTTTTTTTTTAATTATTTGGTGCAGGGTCTCACTATGCAGCTCAGACTTGTAGTGATCCTCCTGTTTTCAGCCTCCCCAGTGCTGGAATTACAGGTGTGTGCCACCACCACACCCATTCTTGGTCACTGGTTCTATATGCCCTTGGGGGCCAGCGTGGCATCTGGGGCTGGGGATTGAACCCCTCCTGGTGCACGCTGAGCTATCACACCAGCCCGCCGAGGAAAGTCGTTTTGCGCCCAGGTTTATGTCTAATCCTTCTGTCCATAACCTTTCTCTCTCAGATGTTTGTGGCTCTGGTGGCTTTTTTTCATGTTTTATTGCCTGGAATGACCATGCCTACTTTAGTCACTGTATTACTGAATTCACTGCTACATTTGCTGTTGGAACTTCCTGAGCCCAGATGACCTGAGGCCAGGCTTGGTGTGCTGTTACCTACCACTCACTAGCTAGTGTCCTGCTTGTGCCCCTAGCAGCTGGGGCCTCTCCAGGTGTGTAGCAGAGACAGGGATGCCATCTGACCCATGGATTTAATTTAATTTCTTGATTGTCCTTAAGGATCATTACCAGAAGTGAAAGTTTCTCCTGGGGAGTACTGAGGCCATATCAGTAGCCAGTGGTGTGGGGACCCTAGTTCACTCCAGCATCAGTCCCTGCCTGAAGAGGGCCCAGACTCCCACTGTTTCCCCGGCAAGACTGCCAGGTACCAAGACTGCCAGGTACGTAAGTGCTGGGCTTCAGGAAGGCACCCTGAAGAGGCAGGAAGGCTTCTAGCTTCCCTGTTTCCTTGTTTCCCAGGTCTCCTGGTGGCCCTGATTTAGCTTCTGTTAATTCATGCTGTGAGTAGCCAGCGGCTTAGGTGAGCCCTTTCCCAACCCCAACAACCCACATGCTAACCCAAGGCCCAGTATGGTGCCCACCAAGGTGGGGGCCAGTGGCTAAGCACAGAGGCTCTATAGCTTCATGCCCTGCACGCCCACTGCCCCACAGGTGTTTGGACAGTGCAGCCAACTCTCTCGCTTTGTTAACTCCCTTACCTCTGGGACGCAACCCAGCACCACAATGGCAGCAGAGACACTCAATTTTGGGCCTGAGTGGTAAGTCACATCCTGAGGCTGGTGTGGCCAGCTGTGCTGCAGGAAGGGAGCGGGGCTGCTGGGACCCTTGGTGTTCTCCCCCCTTCTATGTTTGCTGCAGGCTGAGGGCCCTTTCCAGCGGAGGTAGCGTGGCCTCACCACCCCCTTCCCCAGCCATGCCCAAGTACAAGTTGGCCGACTACCGATATGGGCGAGAGGAGATGCTGGCCCTCTATGTCAAGGAGGACAAGGTGTGGTGGTGGCCCAGGGAGTGGGAAGTAGCACCCATGGATTTGTGGTCTCAACTAGAGAGAAGCCCTGAGTTGCACTGTCTTGGTTCTTCTGCCCGCTGCACAGGTCCCTGAAGAACTTCAGGATAAGGAGTTTGCCGCAGTATTGCAGGAGGAGCCATTGCAGCCACTGGCCCTCGAGCCTCTGACTGAGGAGGAGCAGGTGGGGCCTGGCCAGGCCGAGCCTGTGGGGGCCAAATTTGGGGAGCTGGGTTGGTCAGGTGCTTGGGTCCTCACTCGCACCCCTGGCTCCCTCCTCAGAGGAACTTCTCCCTGTCAGTGAACAGTGTGGCTGTGCTGAGGCTGATGGGGAAAGGAGCCGCTCCTCCCCTGGCTGGCACCTCCCGTGGCAGGGGCAGCACAAGGAGCCGAGGTAGAAGGGCACTGCAGATTCGGGTGAGCAAGGGTGAGCATGTGGTCCTTAGGATATAGAAAGACACAAGTGCGTCTGTTGTCCTTATTTAGGCCGTGGTCGTGGTGACAGTTGCTTTTACCAAAGAAGCATTGAAGAAGGTGATGGAACCTTTGGGCGAAACCCCCGGGAGATCCAGCGAAGCCAGAGCTGGGATGACAGGTGGGGCTGGAAGAAAGTGGCAAGGAGGCAGAGCAAGAGAGGAGTCCATGGCCAGTCCAGGGTCCATAGAGGGAGACTGGGTATTAGCAGAGACCCACCACCATAAGTCCTTGTCACAGTCCCCTGTGCCTGCTGACCTGCGAGCCTAGCCTGCCCCTTGCTTCTGAGTCTCTCAGGGCCTATTTGTCCCTGTACTCTGTTTTCTATGGTAGTTTGTGCTCCTTTCTTCTGAGCCTGATTTCTTCCCCTGTGCCCTCTTTTTACCCTACCCCAGGACAGTGGACAAGGTGTGTAACAGTCATGCAGGGTCGAGAGGGACATGTATTTTCTTTCTTTCTTTCTTTCTTTCTTTCTTTCTTTCTTTTTTTTTCTTTTTTTTTTGCGGAACCGGGGGTTGAACTCAGGCTCTTGCACTCGCAAGGCAAGTGCTTATTCTCCTGAGCTATTTCCCCGGTCCCTGACATGTATTTTCTTGACCAACACCTTTTTTTCCTGCAGAGGTGAGAGGCGGTTTGAGAAGTCAGCAAGGAGGGATGGAGGTAAGAGAATGGCAAGCATAGTGGCTGGAGGTGGGGTAACTGAGATGGGTACCCCCAGGAGCAGGAGGGTTATGGGGGCAGTGGTAGAGGCAGAAGGGCCTGGAACAGGGTTAGGAGACTTCATTACCAGGGAACTATCCTGCTCACTGCATCTCTTCCCCTGGCCAGCCCGGTCTGGGTTTGAGGAGGGTGGGGCTGGCCCAAGGAAGGAGCATGCCCGCTCGGATAGTGAGAACTGGCGCTCACTTCGAGAGGAGCAGGAGGAGGAGGAAGAGGGAAGCTGGAGACTCGGGGCAGGACCCCGGCGAGACAGTGATCGCTGGCGCTCTGCTAGTCCTGGTGAGATTGGGCAAAGTGGTTTGGGGTTTGTGAATTGGAGGGTGCATTCATGTGGCTGAGTGGAGGGAGCACAAGGTTTGTTGGGGTGGTGCCTGAGGGAGGGCGGTGTTGGTGATCTGGTGTGTTCTATGAATGGCAAGAGTGGGGTGATCCTGGCTGGCTTGATCTGAGTGCCAATTTTCCTTTTCTTTTCAGATGGCGGCCCCCGCTCTGCTGGTTGGCGGGAACATGGGGAGCGGCGACGAAAGTTTGAATTCGATTTGCGTGGGGAGCGAGGAGGGTGTGGTGAAGAGGAGGGGCGGGGTGGGGGAGGCAGCTCTCACCTCCGGAGGTGCCGTGGACCTGATGGCTTTGAGGATGACAAGGATGGGCTCCCAGAGTGGTGCCTTGATGATGAGGATGAAGAGATGGGCACCTTTGACGCCTCTGGGGCCTTCTTGCCTCTCAAGGTATCTTTGAGGAGAGGAGAGCTGGGCAGAACAGAGTGGGGAGTACATGGCTCCCCTCACCATGTGCTCCTGGCCCTTGCCCACACAGAAGGGCCCCAAGGAACCTATTCCGGAGGAGCAAGAGCTTGACTTCCAAGGCCTAGAGGAAGAAGAGGAAGAGACTCCCGAAGGGGTGGATGAGGAGCGACCTGAGGCAGGTGAGTTGTGGCACAGCTCAGGGCAGGAGGGTGAGGGTTGGAGGTGTTGGCCAGCAGGCAGGGTTGCTGGCTGCTCACTTAGCTGTAGGATCAGGCTGCGTAGGACTACAAGCTGAGCAGGTGCTCAGAGGTGGGAGGGACCTGGAGCAGCAGCGCTCTGCTGAAAGCTCAAAAGGTAAGATCACATGTGAGGATGGCCTGGAAATTCCCATGTGGCTCTTTGGAGCAGATGCCTGTTGGTGTCCTGTAGTATAGGCCAGAGGCCCACTGCACAGCAGGATGTTTTCACTCCCAGAGTTTTGTTAGAAGGGGCATGTGCTGCCTAAAGCTGCAGACTGTCCCCCCCGCATGCAGAGCCCTCCAGTTTAGCTTTGAGTCCTGGTAGTCGTTTTTCTCTTTCATTGCAGTATCAAAGATTCAACTTTAGGGCTTTTATGCTGATCTGCATCTTTGACTTTTTTTACTTTTTATTTTGAGGTAAAGTCTCACTAAGTCATTTAGTTGCCCAAGCTGAGTTTGAACTTGTAGTCCTGTTTCAGTCTTTCTGAGTGCTGGGATTACCAGTATGTGCCACTACACCGGGCTTTGTGATTATCCTCCTGCAGCTGGGAAGGAGCTACCACCACTGCCGCCTCCAGAGAAGTCCACCTCTCCGTCCCCACTGCCCACCTTGGGCCCACTCTGGGGTGTGAATGGGGAGGGCGATGAAGCAGTGGAGAAGGAACTTCCCGTAGCTGAAGGTAGGTATGCGGGGCACCTGTGGGTAGTGCTGCTAGAGAAGGGTGCACAGGGTGTTGGCATTGAGGGCAGCTACAGCAAGAACCCATTTGTCTGGAGGTGGATTGGGAACTGTTTAGTCTCCCTTTCTGTGTTCTGCCCACTTCTTCACTTCTAGGAGATGACGTGCGGGGAATCCAGCTGAGCCCTGGTATTGGCTCACCCCCTGTCCCTCCTGGAGACTTGGAAGATGAAGAAGGCTTGAAGCACCTGCAGCAGGTATGGGGCTGCCAAGGCAAACAGTGTCACTGTCCATTTGTCCTTGTTCTTCACTCTACCCATTCCCTCCTGTCTGGTCTGTGGCCCAGTCCTGTTCTGTGACCCAGTCCTGTTCCCCTACCCCAGTCTCATACCCCCATGTTGATGCTTTGTTGATTGGCTTTAGCCTTATTTCTCTTCTGGGCTCTCAGGAGGCGGAGAAGCTAGTGGCTTCCCTGCAGGACAGCTCCCTGGAGGAAGAGCAGTTCACGGCCGCCATGCAGACCCAGGGCCTGCGCCACTCCACAGCCGCCACTGCCCTCCCCCTAAGCCATGGCGCTGCCCGCAAGTGGTTCTACAAGGACCCTCAGGGCGAGATCCAAGGTAGCTGTGGGAGCAGAAGAGTTATGCGGAGCCCTTCTGCAGGGTGTTGTCAGTGTACCCTCTGACCCTAGTGGCATTATCCTCTGCCTTCCTCATGTGCTTGGCCAGGCCCCTTCACAACCCAGGAGATGGCAGAATGGTTCCAGGCTGGCTACTTCTCCATGTCCCTGCTGGTGAAGCGGGGCTGCGATGAGGGCTTCCAGCCTCTGGGAGAAGTCATCAAGATGTGGGGCCGTGTGCCCTTTGCCCCTGGTCCCTCACCGCCCCCACTGCTGGTGAGCACAACATTCCTCTGCTGCCCCATACAGGGAGGGTTGTGGGAGATGGCAGGCTGGCAGAAGCAGGCAGGACCCCAGGGGCCATCCTCCTGGCTGTACACCAGCCACGCTCTCCCCCCACACAGGGAAACATGGACCAGGAGCGGCTGAAGAAGCAGCAGGAACTGGCCACGGCAGCCTTGTACCAGCAGCTGCAGCACCAGCAGTTCTTTCAGCTGGTCAGCAGGTATGGGGCTGTGAGGCTTGGCCCTAAAGCCAGCCCATGGTGCCACATGGCCCACTGTTACACCCTCTGTCTGCAGTCGCCAGCTCCCACCATGTTCGCTCCGGGAAAAGGCAGCTATGGGGGACCTGGCACCGCCGCAGCAGCAACAGCTCACAACGTTTCTGCAGCAGCTCCAGGCTCTCAAACCCCCCAGGTCTGTATGGCCATGGATATCAGGGTTCCAAGGTTGGGGCCAGGGGAAGAGGGCCAAACAGAAGTGGGTATAGGCCCTGAGAGTCAGTGGTTTATTTCTCAGAGGTGGAGACCAGAACCTGCTCCCGACAATTAGCCGGTCCTTGTCGGTGCCAGATTCAAGCCCTCTCTGGGACATACATACCTCAGCCTCATCACAGTCTGGTGAGTGGCTGGCTGGCTGGCTCTGGATGAGATGGGGCCTGGTCTGTCTGTTATCCTTATGTTGCAGCTGCCCCTAAGACTGAGGGGCCAGGCCTGAATGTCCTCTTATAGCTGCCTGTGCCTCTTGCAGGTGGTGAGACCAGTCTTTGGGACATACCAATTAACTCTTCGACTCAGGGTCCAATCCTAGAACAGCTCCAGTTGCAGCATAAAGTGAGTAGCTAGTAGCCTGGGCTGGGCATGCAGGCTGGTGGAGGTCGGCTGCATCCCCCTCTCTGATCTGCCCTGGCAGTTCCAGGAGCGCAGAGAAGTGGAGCTCAGGGCGAAGCGGGAGGAAGAAGAACGCAAGCGCCGCGAGGAAAAGCGTCGCCAGCAGCAGCAGCAGGAAGAGCAGAAGCGGAGGCAGGAAGAAGAGGAGCTCTTTCGTCGCAAGCAGGTCAGGGTCCCTACCATGGTGGCTGGCTGGGGCCAGGGCTGCTGCGGACCCCACCCACCAGATGTCCTCTTCTCTGCCAGGTGCGGCAGCAAGAGCTGCTCCTGAAGCTGTTGCAACAGCAGCAGCAAGCAGCTGCTGCAGTCCCTGTGCCGCCTGCGCCCAGCTCACCGCCCCCACTCTGGGCCGGCCTGGCTAAGCAGGGTCTGTCCATGAAGACTCTACTAGAGCTGCAGCTGGAGGGTGAGCGGCAGCTACACAAGCCGCCCGTGCCCCGGGAGCCGCCCCGGGCCCAGGCCCCCAACCACCGCTCGGTGAGCAGACCCCTACTAGCTCGGGTGGGCAGGGTAGGGGGGTGGAAGTGGCCACTGGGCTCAGGCTCCTCCCTCCATACTTCCTTGCCCATGTGGTTTTGAGATCTTTTCCGCGTGGTTTTTACCTCCTCCCTCCCTGTGCCACCTAAACAAGTTGCCCTGCCTTGCTTTCCTGGGTTCCTGACTAGAGCCCCCTGACTTCTTGCCATCTCAGCAGCTTGGGGGCCTGGGTGCTGCCCCCCTGAACCAGTGGGTTTCTGAGGCCGGGCCACTGTGGGGCGGGCCTGACAAGAGTGGGGGCAGTGGCAGTGGCAGCCTGGGGCTCTGGGAGGACACCCTCAAGAGCAGTGGAAGCCTGGCCCGTGGCCTCGGCCTGAAGAACAGCCGGAGCAGCCCATCTCTCAGGTGAATGTGGGACCTGGAGGGCCAGGGGATGAGGCCCTGAACCTTGGGCTGATCTCTGGCCTCCAATTTCCTGTGCTCAGCGATTCATACAGCCACCTGTCAGGTCGGCCTGTTCGCAAAAAGACAGAGGAAGAAGAGAAGCTTCTGAAGCTGCTGCAGGGCATCCCCAGGCCCCAGGACGGCTTCACCCAGTGGTGTGAGCAGATGCTACACACTCTGAGCACCACGGGCAGCCTGGATGGTAGGGCATGGTGCACGCCAGCCAGCCACACTGGTGGGTGGGCTTTTGGTCTGACCGGGTATGCCTGATGGCTGCCTTCTCCACAGTGCCCATGGCTGTTGCAATCCTCAAGGAAGTGGAGTCCCCCTATGATGTCCATGATTATATCCGTTCCTGCCTGGGGGATACACTGGAAGCCAAAGAATTTGCCAAACAGTTCCTGGAGCGGAGGGCCAAGCAGAAAGCCAGCCAGCAGCGGCAGCATCAGCAGCAGGTAAGTTCTCAGGGGGCCTGGGAAGGGGTGCCTGGCACCCTCCTCACTTGCCACCACTTCTGCTGCCTTAGGAGGTGTGGCTGAGCAGTGCCTCCCTGCAGACAGCCTTTCAGGCCAACCACAGCACCAAACTTGGCCCTGGGGAGGGCACCAAGGCCAAGAGGCGGGCGCTGATGCTGCACTCCGACCCCAGCATCTTGGGTGAGTGTGGGGGTGGTGGGCTGTGGAGGAGACTGGCTTCCTTCTCAGGGGTTCAAAGGGCCTGGGGAGTTCACGCCTGGTTCTTCCTGGCTTCAGGGTACTCCTTGCATGGACCTTCTGGTGAAATTGAGAGCGTGGATGACTACTGACCAGCCCGTCCCACTAGCCCCCTGGGCTGGAGGCCAGGAGTGGCAGCCGCAGCTTGGACCCTCAGGTCCCCAGCCTGCAGGCTCCCAGCAAGGAGCAGAGGAGGAGCAGGGGCAGGGTCCCCAGCACTTGTTACAAACCACACGATGCACCTTAACTCACCCACCACGAGGCACTTTACAGATTGGGGGGAAGGGGTTTTTCTTTTTTTTTTCTTTTCTCCTTTTTTTTTTTTTTAAATTTTAAATGACTGAAGAGAATGTTAGGAGTCAGAAAATTTTGTTATAAAGCTAGATTCTAGACACACTATCCCTGGGGGGATGGTGTGATAATGGAAGGTCCACAGAATTTTTTTTTTTGTTGTTGTTTTGTTTTTAAGAAAAATAATGAAAAATAATGAAGAAAAAAAAAAAAAAAAAAGGCTGAAAGGAAAAACACACTGTTATTTTGGGGCAGTGGGGATACATGCCCCATGGACCTGTCCTGCCTGGCCCCTGAGGCTGCACTTACCCTGCTGCCCCCCCAGAAGGTGGGCTGTTGAGGTAACAAAGCTGGGGCCCCAGCAGTTTGCACAGTGAGGCCCCCTCAGTGGCCTGCCCACCGGACCCGCTGTGAGCAGCTCCTTGTTGCTGTGACTGTGGCAGAGGTGTCCAGGGTGGGGGCCAAAGTCACCCCTTGGCTTTGCTGCTTTGGGGGAAAGTTGCACAAATTGGACAAGTCGCCTCAGCCCCCAGCTGCCCTTCTGTATGCTAGCTGTTGGGGCGATGGGGAAAGGCCAGTTGGTGACCCCCTCCTGTCAGGGGCAGGACTTGGACTCAGGCCTGCCGAGGGGCTTCCCCCACCGCTGCCATTTTGGGAGATGGCCTGGTGTGATGTGTGACACCGAAAGCCCCAGCTCCCTGCCTTGCCACATGAATGTATTCTTTGGTTCCCAAGTCCCCCGCCTTGCCCCCAGAGGAGGGGCAGGGCAGGGTGGTTCCTCCAGGAGCTGGGGAGGCGAAACTTCACGCCCGGGATGAGGCCCCGAGTCCTTGCCAGCGGAGAGGGGCAGGAGTCTCAAAGGGCCAGGAGTGGGTGGCCAAGGCTGTTGCAGAGCAAGGGACTGTCACGAGAGAGCCTTGCCCTGCAGCCCGCCACGTGGGGTATGGACCACCTGGCTCCACGCCTGACCCTGCCTGACCCTTCGTTGACCAAATGGGAGAGGAGCAAGAGGCCTCCCCTCGACGTGTGTTTTAAATGTCGGGTAAGGCTGGGGTCGAGAGCATGTGCAGGTGTGTCTCCTGTTGCTCACCGACTTCTAACCCCCACTTGGGCTTGTCTCCATTGGTTTTTGTTTGTTTTTGTTTTGGTAGTTTGTCTAATCTTTTGCATTTTCATCAAACTTCTCCCATCGACCTCATTGCTGAGTGCAGTATTAGGACAGACTGCCGCTGCCTCCCTCCATGAATGTATTGCTCCTTACTGCCCTGGGGAAGTGGGGAGCTGCCCCAATTTCTTTCCCCATCTATCTCCAGAGAATTAAGGATTTTTTTTTTTTTTTTTTTTTTTTTTTTTTTTTTTGCACCAAAGTGGCAACTGGGTCAGTGTTGGGGATAAAGCTGGCCTCGGGGTGGCAGGGCCCCTCCACCTACTTCTCCCTGGTTTCGACAGTGTTAAGTATCCGTGAAAAGACAATATTTTCTCTAAAGCAATAAGGGGGTGATGGGCCAGGGGGAAATGTCTTGCTGCTGCTGGCCCCCCAGCTCCCCTTCCCTCTTGCCAGTGTGGTGGCATTGGACGGGGAGGGGGAGACTCCTGTTGTGACTGAATGTAACCGCCCTGCCCCTGCCACAGCCAATGCAGGGGAAGGGGGGACACTCTTCCTGTCTCTCCCTGTCCCTTCCCCCCAGAGCTAAAGAGACTTGAGTTGGGGGGGCCCACGAGCCTGGAGAGGCCTTAACCCTGTGAGGAAGTGTAGGGGGAGCCCTCTCCCACCCCATCCCCTCTGAGAGTGGTCAATGTTTACAAGCCCTGAGCCCCGCCCAGGGACTCAGATCCCATTGCTGTCCTGTCCCAGTCTTCCTGGGCCCTGCTGCCCCCCTCCTGGGATTGGGGTAAAAAGGGGGTCATTCTGTGTTCCCTCATCTGCCTTGTACCCACAGCCCCACCATGTGACTTCCTGTTCTACCTGCCCCATGTAAATACTCCTAATAAAACTTGGTGTGTTCTCCCTATCCACCACTACTGCTGGCTTTGTTTGGGGAAGGGACTGAGGGATGGACGTTTGGGTCTGGGAATTAAGAGTTATTTCCATGTCGGGTACAGGGACACCACACTCCTCCCCTCAGGAGGGATCCTTTATCCATGGTCTGCCCTCTGGGAGAAAGGAGAAAGACAAAGCAAGGGAAGAGGCCAGGTACAGAGTTGGAATTGGTTCCTTTATGGAAAAACTGAAAATATAATAAAAATTAAAATAAAACCAGTTTTAAAAAAGCCAACCCCTGGAGTTTCCACCTCCTGCCTCTGGCCATCCAGAGAGGTCCCCTGACTCCAGGGCAGCAAAAAGATAAGGGCTTTCTGCCCCCCTCTCCCCCCAAACCATCCCCATCTTTATCTCCACAGTGGGGGCCCCGGGAGGAACCAAACCTGGGTGAGGGGAGCAGGGACCCAAGGCCCTGTGGCCCAGGGAGGGAGGCTGGGCATGGACCCAGCCCCAAAGCTCTGGGCCTGTAGTGTGGGCATGGGCAGGGCCCCTCCAGCCTGGGCCCAGCTGGGAGTTGCGCAGTTAGTTCCAGATCTTGAGGAAGGAGTCCCAGGAGCCTGTGGCCACAGCCATGCCATCATCAGTGACCCCAAGGCAGCTCACTCGGTTGTCGTGGCCAGCAAGAACACCTGAGGAAAAGGAATGTGACAGCCCGGACCTGGGCTCCAGGCCCTGCCCACTGCCCCAGCACCTAGGCCTCACCTGCGCGGTCACCCTTCATGGCATCCCAGATGTTGCAGTTGAAGTCGTCGTAGCCTGCGAGTAGCAGGCGGCCACTGCGAGAGAAGGCCACCGAGGTGATGCCACAGATGATGTTGTCGTGCGAGTACATGAGGAGCTCCTGATCAGCCCGCAGGTCAAACAGGCGGCAGGTGGCGTCGTCAGAGCCCGTGGTAAAGGCATAGCCGTTGGGGAAGAACTGCAGAATGAAGGTACAGGGGAGGTGGTGTGAAGGCCAGCTAGGACTGAGGATAGGGGCTACTGGGATTGCCCCCAACTTACAGCCACGGCGTTTATGTCGGACTCATGACCGATGAAGGTCTGTCGGCACATGGAATCCCGCACGTCCCACAGCTTGATGGAGGCGTCACAGGCACCTGATACAAAGGTGCGGCCATCGGGGGCCAGTGACAGGGACATCACATCCCCACTGTGTCCAGCAAAACCCACTGTCTGCTGGCCTGTCTCTATGTCCCACAGGGCACTGAAAAGGGGACAAGAAGGAAGGGATAAAAGACTGGGTGAAGGACTCCCCCTTACCACCTGAGCCAGCCCTGCCAGTCTGTGGGAACCCCCTGGGATCCTGAAGGTGGGAGGTGAGCGCCTCAGGCTGCTGAGTACAGGGACAGGGAAGCAGGGAGTAGGGTAAGCCCTCCCTGCCCACGGCTGTGGGACCTCACCAGGTGGTATCCCCAGAGCTGGTGATGATTTGGTTGTCATCCAAGAAGCGGCAGCATGACAAGTACCCTGGGGAAAGGGGCTGGTCAGCCGAGTCTCCATGGGAGGGCAGCACAACCCCTCTCCCACAAAAGAGCCTTTGCCTGCTGGGCCCCTCTCACCAGTGTGGCCAGGCAGCTCCCGGCTGACCCTGACATTGCCTTCTCGGGTCTTAAGACTGTAGATGGAACAGATGTTGTCCAAACCCCCGCAGGCTACAAAGTTCCCTGAGGGTGCGTAGGCACAGGTCATGACCCAGGAAGAGCGCAGTGGGATGGCATGGACCTGTGGAGGAAGGGTGGTGCCCAGGCTCAAGGCCAGCCAGGGCTCTGCAGCCCAGCCCCACACCAATGCCCCTGGACTAGCACCTCTACCTTGTTGGTGGTGTAGCTGTCCCAAATGATGAGCTTCCCATCCTGGGAGGCGCTGACCAGCAGCCTAGGGGACAGGTGGAGAGAGGCATTGGTCAGGATGTGGAGGGAGGCCATCCTCTCCCATCTGGAGGCCCTTCTGAGACATCCCCAGCAGTAGCTCTGGTATCCTGTCAGCGTGGCCCCCAGGGATGCTCAAACCCCATCAGACTTGAGAGGCTGTCCTCCCTCCACTGCTGCTCAGGCCAATATAAGACCACCCCTGAGCCTGTGAGCACCACAGGTAAGCGCAGAGCCTCACCCTGGCCACCCACACACCTTGAGTCTGTCCCCCAGTGCATGGCATAGATTTTTGCAAGATGCCCCCGGAGGGTCCTCCGTGTCCTCATCTGGATTCTCCCCACTGGGTCCAGCCCAGCTGTGATCTGGAGGTGGAAACACAAGGGCTCAGGGAGAACTGGACATCAGAACCCCAACCCAGCAACATGCTCCAACCCTTGTCTCCAAAGTCCCCAGACCAGCCTGTGCAGTCGTCTCACCTGGGTCAGCGTTGAATCCCCACATGCTTTTCGGGCATCCTGCAAGAGATGACAGAGGCAGAGAAAAGCAGCAGAGAAGATGGTTGGGGGAAGACAAGAAAAAGAAAACGGGAGGAAAGGCGGTGGGGAAGAGGAGACATGCGGAGATTAGGTTACCCTCCCCATCACCCAGGCAGTCCCCTCCGGGCAGCAAAGCAGGCGACAACCACAAGCTGCCAGGCCCTGCCTGCTCAGCTCCCCATCCCAGCAGTGGCCAGGCCCTCACCCGGATCTGGTTCCGGAGCTGCTCGGCCTCCTGTCTCAGTTGCTCCAGCTCACTCATGGCGCCGGGCCCGTGGGGCGGGGTTGGGGGCGGCTGGGGGCCGCGGGACGGGGGCTGGGGGAGGCAGCTCCTGGCCGCTGGCCTGAGGCCTGGGGGATGCAGGGCTGACGTCAGGCCCCAAGGCCGCTGCGGCCGGGGAAACAGGGGGAAAGGCGGGGTAGACTTGTGGCCCGGAAGGTGTGACCTCGGCGGGGGAGGGGGAAGGGTGAGGGCAGGCACAGCTTCCCGGGCAGGACAAGGGTCTCTGATACCTGGTACCAGAGAGACGTGGCTGAGAGACAGGCGACTTCCCCAATCTTCCTCCCGCCCCCCGGAAATGGAGCGGGAAGTGCAAGAGGAAACGCAGGGGAAACCCCTCCCTCGGACAGCGGCAGACCGGGCGGGACACTCGCGGCAGGAACTGGGGAGGGGGGTAGTCCCTTCGAAAACAGACCTGGCGTCCGCCCCAGCCTGCACAGGCACCGCCCTCCCAGCACCTAATTTAAAAAGGGGCGGTGCGTCTTTAAATTCACCCCCACAAGCCGCACACCCTCCACACACACACCCCCAGCTTCCAAGGTGGGGGGAGACCAGCAAGGGGAGGCTGGGCTGTTCGTGGGGTTGCCTAGGCAACCGTCACCCGGACTGAGAGCACCTCATTGGTAAAGTGCCCCCACCCTAGCCCTGTTACCAAGGCAACCGCATCCAAGGCAGAGACCTGTAGGATGGGTGACCCCACCCCCGGCCCCATCGCCCCCGCCCGACCCAGCCTCGCCACCTCTCCCCAGAACCGGCCGGGGTAGCTGTTTACAGGATTTGGGAAAAGCCGATTGGGCACTAATGGGTTTGGGAAGGCTCACCCTGGATAATCTCAGGGCCGGCTGCACCCCATTAGCCGTCCTCCCAGGGTGGGGGCGACAGCGGCGAGAAAGGCAACCCCAGGCTGCTGCTGTCCTCCAGCGCCCCGGCCTGCCACCCTCCCGCCTGCAGAGCCCGCAAAGCCCGTGGGAGCCGCGCTGGAGTAATTAGGGTTTTGAAGAGAGAGGCCCGGGCCCAGGGGCGCTGAGCTGCTCTCTCCCAGGCGCCGGAGGACGGCCCTCGGCGGCCCTCTCCGGAGCCCTCTACACCCCAGGAGCCCAGTCCACGGGCGCGGCGCGGGGTCCCCCAGGGCCTGGCTGGCTCTGTTCCAGCCCCTGGCGTCCTGTCCCCTTCCTCTGCCCCGGAGACACCTGTGCGATCTGGCCGTACACACTGCACTCACCGAGCAGCACTCGCCGAGCCGGCGTCGGCCACCCAGCTTCCACTTCCCCAGAGCTGGGCGTTCCTCTTCCCCACTGTCATTTCCCCTCTGTCAGTTCTACGCCAGCCTCGGGGATTGCCCCTCCTGGGGGTCACGGCCCCTACCCCAACCCCAGGTGTGGACACAGCCTCGGGCCCGGGAAAAGGAAGCAACTAGGAGGGAGCCGCTGGAGGCGGTTCCAGCTCTCCGTCTCCATCACCCTCCAAGACCCCCTCGGTACCCCCTCGCATTTGGGGGATACAGCAGCCAGGCCCCGAACAGAAAAGGGGCTGCCACTGCCTCCGCAGGTGTGGCGGGGCGAATGGGAGAGGACAGGAGGGTCCCCGATCTGGCAGCTGGAAGGCTAGAGTCGAGTGCCGCGCGCTGCGAAGCGCAGTGGGCCTGGCCCTCCCGGCCCCCACGACCTCCATTTTGCCCGAAAGAAAATTGGGCGAGGGACAGGCGCTTGGAAACTAAGCTTGGGGTGAGGACTTGCAGAGGGAATGGGGTGCCGAGGTCTCCAGTTTGTTTGGGGCAAGAAACATGGGCAGGGCGCAAATCAAGGGTGGGGTAGGGACGAAGGCAGGGTGGCCTCGCGGCCTTGCAGTCTGTCCCAAGACACTGGAGTTTTGCAGGGCGAATGCTGGCGCGGGTGCGAAACGAGAGAACACGAGTGGTGCTACCCCGGACAGGCGGGAGAGTGGGGGCACAAGGGGGCGGGACGGGGCCTATCGGAAGCCCGGAATTTAGCCCCCCAACTATTAAGGGAGCTAGAGGTAGGCAGGGCTGGGATGGGGTCTGAGGTCAGGAAAATGCAGCCGAGGGTGCAAGGAGCCCATGCATTATTGGGGCTGAGGGTCCCCCAGTTCCCCTTCCGGGTTTGGGAGCGATGGGGCCAGAGGAAGGGAGGGGAGGTCTGGGGAGTTACGTCCGCTCCCAAGAGGCCAGACTGGGGAAAGAGACGGAAAGGAAATTTCCCTCATGGGAATTTGGGGCTGGGGGAGATTAGAACTCCTTTTGTCAGCGGAGGTACCTGTGGAGGTG